CTAGCAGCCGAGGCGCGGCTGGGGGAGCATGCCCGCAGCGCCTGTGGGACACACCAACGCACAAGGCTCAGACCTTTCCCCATGCCTCTGCTGAGCATGAGCCAGGCTCTGCTGTCCCTCCTGGCAGCCCCCGGCCCGCAGACGGGGTATGTGCGGCCCCGCTCAGTGCCCCCCTTGTGCCCGCAGTCCTGCCGCTCCGCTCCCAGCCAAGAGCGGAACGCTCCGTAGCCCCTCACATTGGCGCCAGGGGCAAATTCAGGCCCTGGGCCAGGAGTCCCACGGCCTCCCCATGGCCTGTGCCATCGTTCCCCCGCCTGGGGCTAGCCCGTCGTCTGCCCAGTCCCGCCGGGAAAGCTCAGGGGTGCCACTCAGACTGGGGGGAGGGGCGACCTGCATACTATGATGGGGGGTAGACAGGATAGCAGCTTCAGCAGTGTTCCTGAGCATGCTCAGTACGAGCCAAGCGGCACATTGGGGGGGAGCTATTCCATTCGACCCCTCCACACACACATATCACCTTTCTAAGGCTGCTAAGGCACTGGAATCAGAGAAAAGATTAATAGAATCCTAGAACACGAGAACTGGAAGGGACCACGGGAGGTCGAGTCCAGTCCCTGCCCCATGGCAGGACCCAGCACCGTCTAGACCATCCCTGACAGGTGTTGTCCAACCTGCTCTTAAACATCTCCAGGGGTGGAGATCCCACAGCCCCCCCAGGCAATTGATTCCAGTGTTTAGCCACTCGGACAGGCAGGAATTTTTTCCTAATGTCCAACCTAAACCTCCCCTGCTGCAGTTTAAACCCCTCGCTTCTTGTCCTGTCCTCAGAGGCCAAGGAGAACAATTTTTATCCCTCTTCCTTGTGACACCCTTTTAGATACTTGAAACCTGCTGTCATGTTCCCTCTCAGTCTTCTCCTTTCCAAATTAAACAAGCCCAACTCCTTCAGCCTTCCCTCATCGCTCATGTTCTCTAGACCTTTCATCACTTTTGTTGTTCTTCTCTGGACCCTCTCCAATTTCTCCACATCTTTCTTGAAATGTGGTACCCAGAAGTGGACACAAGACTCCATCTGAGGCCTAACTAGTGCAGAGTAGAGCGGAAGAATGACTTCTCGTGTCCTGCTCACAACACTCCTGTGAATGCTGCCCAGAATCATGTTTGATTAAATCACGTAATTTAATTCTTGAGTTATGTTAGTGAGGAGTAACTAACGTTTCCTTAGTCTATTTTCCGGCACCATTCATGATTTTCTAGACCTCTAACATATCCCCCCTCCCCCCCCCACTCTTTAGTCATTTCTTTTCCAAGCTGAAAAGACCCAGTCTTGTTAATTTCTCCCCATATGGAAGCTATTCCTTACCCCTCGGCATTTCTGTTGCCCTTTCTGTGCCTTCTCCAAATCCAACAGATCTTTTTTCAGATGAGGTGACCAGATCTCACACAGTATTCAAGATGTGGGCACACCATGACTTTATATAGAGGTAATACGACATTTTCTGTCTTATCTGTTCCTTACCTAGAGATTCCCAATATTCTGTTAGGTTTTTAGTTTTTACACCGCCACTGCTCATTGAGTGAATGTTTTCAGTGAATTAGCCATAAGGATTCCAAGATCTCTTCCCTGAGTGGTAACAGCGATTTTAGAGCCATCATTTTTGTATGTCTAGTTGGGATTATATTTTAATATGGGCATTACTTTGCACTCATCAACACTGAATTCTGTCTGCCTTAGTGTTTCCCAGTCACCCAGATCTGTGGGATCCATTTGTAACTCTTTGCAGTCGGCTTTGGATTTAACTATTTTGAATAATTTTGTCACATCTGCAAATGTTGCCACCTCGTGGCCTCGCCCTTTTCAGAGAACATTGAGAAGCTGAACAGGACTGGTCCAAATTCAAATCCCAGCAGCACAACACTCCTCGCTCTGTTTTCTCCTGTCTTTCAAGTGGCAAGCCCAGCAATGCTTTCATGATGCTCTAAGGACCCGTCAGTGACTGGACGCCTGGCCTGCTAGTCTTGATCACCTGCCCTTTCCTCTGCTTATAACAAACTCCCTGCCCCCAAGGCAAAGCTGCCTTGGAGCCGGGCCTGCATCCTGAAGCAGACCTCTAGTATGAAATCCAGGGATTCAAACTTTGGGCAGGGGGCCTATGGCCCCAGCCCCCCTGAATGGTGCCCTTGGGTAAGCTCAGCCAGGCCGATCCCCTGGGGAACCTTCTCTAGCTGCACCTGCTGCCAGCGGCGCTGCCTTTTCTCAGCTCCGGGGCCTGTTAGTGGCCAACCGGCCACCTGGCCACTAATGGCCTGCAGGTGGGCTCTGAGGAGGCTGCTCTCCTTAGAGCGGCGCACAGAAAACCTGCTCCAATGCTTGGGTGTGGCTGCAGACCCACCCCCTGCTGGGAGAGGTTTGGGGATGGGGCAGGAGGAGGCTTGTGTGCTACAACCAGAGCTAGCCAGGTCAGAGCCAGCTTGGGTCTGTCTAGAGGGGCTGTGGTCCCCCTGTGGCTGCAGTGTGGACAGACCCTCAGTCTGGGAACCCCCCCAGGGCCAGGGCAGGGCCCAACCCAGCAGCTGGGTGTGCGAGGCAGACTGGGATCCGCAAAGGGCGTGGATCCCCATCCCCTCCTGGGCCAGCTCCGCTGTCCCCTGGGCAGGACGCTGGAGGAGGCTGAGCGCGGCAGGGCCCAGGGCGTGTGGGCGGTGGAGTCCCCGGCCAGTGGAGCAGAGCAGCAGTGAATTCTGCTTTTATCTGCAATTATCTGTTTGAGGTACCCTCACCTGAGCCCCAAATACAAGGAGTCCTTCGACGTGGGCAGCGACATCTTCGCCAAGTTCTCGGCCTACATCAAGAACCCTCACAAGGAGGCGAACGAGAGTAAGAGCCCCGGGCCGGGCACGGGTGTCTGTCCTCGCCAGTCGGCGCTGGCAAAGCCGAGGAGCAAAGCAGCCCCCTCAGCCGGGGGCGGGGGAGGGCGTCTCAGCCGCTCAGGCCGCGGATGTGGGGATGTCAGTGCCCGGGGGGTGCAGGCCTCCGGGGGAGGGAGAGGGGGCGGCCTCACAAGGAGGCGAACGAGAGTAAGAGCCCCGGGCCGGGCACGGGTGTCTGTCCTCGCCAGTCGGCGCTGGCAAAGCCGAGGAGCAAAGCAGCCCCCTCAGCCGGGGGCGGGGGAGGGCGTCTCAGCCGCTCAGGCCGCGGATGTGGGGATGTCAGTGCCCGGGGGGTGCAGGCCTCCGGGGGAGGGAGAGGGGGCGGGGGCAGGGTGCCCCAGCAGGAGCGTTAGCGGCAGGATCTGCTCCTTGTGAGGGCATCCG